TCCTCCTCCTCCTCCCTGCAAACCCAACTCCCCTGAGGCACTGATGATGTTCCCTAGTTGGGTCATGAAACATTTGCAAGAAAACCACCAAACTCAGAGACCACCCAGGACCCCACGGGGGAGGACCGGGATCCAATCCCCCGCCTATCTGGAGAGTTATCAGCAGCTCTGCATGACGTGGGTCATTTCGGTCATCTGAATGACCTCATTCTCCACCAGAGTTTGACCTCCTTCTCCATTGAGCTGCCTCATCCTCAGGTTGATCGACCCGTAAGTCTTTCGGGGGCCTCTGGACACTGGGAAAGTCCTCCTCCTGTAAAGCTCCCCTTTGTACATGGAAACCATCAACAGCACGGAGAGGAGCATCCCGCCCAAAGTCAACATGACCAAGCCGGCGATGATGCACTTGTCCAAATGGGAGCTGAGGCGGGCATAGTACATCTCCAGTCTCTCCATCTCCCGAGCGGACACCGTGTCCGGGTTCACCCGGGCTTCGCGTGGGATGCTGTAAGCCACGATCACCAGCAAAATCCCACCGACCAGGAACACCAAGGCCAAAAGGAAGCCATAGTCTACGGAGTTCCCAGCTGGGTCTGGCAAGGTTGCATCCTCTGATCTTGGGGAAAGGTCCTCCGTGGGAGGGGCTGGGTGCTCCTTGGGGCTCCCCGGTCTCCTCTGGAAGGACGTTTCCTCCTCCTCCTCCTCCTCTTCCTCTTCCTCCCTTTGGTAAGAGGCATTCTCAATGCCTGTCCGGGGGGCTGTCCTTGGTGCTGAAGGCTTTCCTTGTCTCCCTCTCTGACTGGACCCAAGGTGGCTCTCTAAGACTGTCAGTTCCAAGGGGCTTGTAGAAGCCATTGAGATGAGGTCTTCTTGGTCATCCCCCTTAGTGCTTCACCTGCTGGGACATACAAACAAAAGCATCAAACGGATGGGGACACACACCTTCGTGTGGACAGAAACTGTCTTAACGTCTTCCCACAAGACGACGCTATAGGGCACGAGGGTCAAACTCAAGGCCCGCGGTCCAGATTCGGCCCATGGGGGGTGTGATGACCGGGGGCGTGGCACAAAGGCAACTCAGCCAGAGAATAAGTCTGGGTCCCTTTATTAGCTCCAACTTTGCCCCCAATGTCCTGGTTACCTTCCAGTGTGGAGGAAAAACTCTCCCACGAACCTGCAACAGCCTTTGGCTGCAGATATTCCAATCCCAACATTGTAAACAGAAAACTTTGTAAATCCAACAAGGCAAAATAAGGTAATAAATCCAGTAGGCAAGATAAGGAGTTCCAGAAGTAAAGAATCATGGCAGTAAATCAAACCAGTTGGGAGGATGCCAGGAACTCTGATAACAGTGCCAACACTAGATAAACTCAGCAATTGTTCCCAACAATCACCCCACCCATCTGTCTCTCCTTTAAACTCCCTCCCCAGGTGTGCCTTGTGAAGGGAATCAAGGCCCTCTCCTTCCCCGTAAGCCAAGCAACCCACGTTGCTCTCCTTTCCGTTCCTCCCTGCTTGCCCTGGGATGAAGAGGTGGTGGGCCTGGGTCTTCCTCTGAACTCCCTCTCCCTTATTCTACCCCTCCCCTCCTCTGCCCAGTCAGACTTTACCCTTCCTCAATTTCTTCCACAGCCAACGGAGCCACACTCCCACTCCCTGTCGGCTGTTCGTCTTCCTCTTCAGATTAAGACTCTGATGGGGGCATGATAGGATGCTTAGATTTGGCCTGTGGGGCTGCCCTGGAAACAGTGAAGGACCAACCTGCAATGCCTCTACCAGCGAAACAGGCTTCGTTTTTGCTGGCAGAGTGCTGGAGGAGGCCATCTCAGCCAAAAACAGAGCCCAGGAGGACAATCGATCCCCTCCACATCCCTGCCTGGGCCTGTTCTGACCCAAACCTTGTTCCAAGGAAACCAACACCAAACGGAAATAACAGCAAAACCTTTTAATGATTCTTTATGAATCCCGTTCCTTCCATGTTAAAAGGCTGTTTCAAACTAATTGTCTCTTATAACAACGAGCCTTGCCAAGGGGGTGCAAGGCTGCCAAGAACACTAGATAAAGTTGCCAAGAAAGAGTTTCCAAACACCAACCAAGATACTCCAAACATCCACAAGGCTCGAGTGCAAAAACGTCTTTGCTTCCTGCAAAGAACTCCTGTTTCTCAGCTGGCTTTTATCTCTTGAGGGAGGGGCCATTACCTTGCAGCCTTACTCCTGAGTCACCTGTGCTGCTGCAGCTGCTCTTTCCTTCGAGCAGCCCTGCGCACATGCGCACTTGGCATGGGCTCCTCGGGGGCTTCTTCATTGCTGATGCCAGCCCCCACAATCTCTGAAGGCAGCACTCCACTCCCTGATGGTCCTGACCCCATCCCTCCATCACACACAGGCCCCTCATCCAAGTCCTCGCTCTCCGAGACCTCAGCCGTCCGCAACCTGCTGCCGGCGAACCACAACAAGGCCACCACAGGTGCCCCCAACATGAGTGACATTGATTTGGCCACCCCGCTCCACCCCCCCAAGGTCAAACGCAACCCTGATGCAGCCCCCAATGAAATCAAGTTTGACACCTCTGCTATAGGGCATTGCACACCAAAACAACTAGACACAAGGACAGTTTTTCCTCCCCCATGCCATCACTCTGCTAAACAATTAATTCCCACACTATCTCATGCCCTAGGATGCCATACCAACTAGTAGGGCTGTATTACTACTCTGCTTCTCGTCTTTTCTATGACTTATAGATACCTTTGGCATCTTATGACGAGAACTTGTTTGTACGTCTATGGAGATTCTCCGCGCTATTTTTGCCCAGGAGGCAACTGGACTTTCTGGTTTGTCTTTGAAGATGTTTTCACTTCTCATCCGAGAAGCTTCCTCAGCTCTGAATGGATGTGGGGGGGAATGGAAGGTTTTATATTCCTTGCAGACAGCTGGTCATTTGCACTGTTTTAGAGCCGTGATGGCAAACCTATGGCACGCGTGTGCCACGGGGTGGCATGCAGAGCCATTTGCGCTGGCACGCAAACTGCAGGCAAACTTACCTGACTGTGCATGCACGCACCTCACCGCTGATTTTCCAGCCGGTTTGAAGCCTTTTTCGACCCTAATGACTCTTTCTAGATCAAGGGCCTTCAAAGCTACTGTACTTCATTTCCGTCAGCCCATGCCAAGGGGTGTCTGGGTGAAAGTGATGGGAACTGAAGTCCAGCTGAATCAGACCAACAATCAAACAATAAAGAACAACCTAATCAAGAAACCGGCAAGAAGAAAACAACATTTCTAGCAATGCCGGCAGGGCCAGCCACTAAACAGAGAGCAAACCCCACTCCCACCGAGTTATATTCCCCCTGCCGCCTCCTCTTCCACCCGCCAACCCCATTCCCTTCTAGCACGGATGATGTTGCCTAGTTGGGTCATGAAATGTCAAAACACCTTATCATGTTAAGAAAGCCCCCAAGGTCAGAGAGTACCAAGGATGCCACAGTCCTCCTCCTCCTCCTCCTCCTTCTTCCTCTTCCTCCTCCTCTTCCTCCTCCTCTTCCTCCTCTTCCTCTTCCTCTTCTTGCAAGGAAACAACCAAGCTCACAGAGCACCAGAGAAATTCCCCCAGTATAAGGATCTTAAAAATCAACCTTCTTACCTTAAAAATAAATGGGTGTGCTCATGAGGCACCTTAGTCTATGATAGCCCAAAATCAGGATCTGGGTAGTCCTTTTTCTAACTAGCAAATGTTATGAAGGCAAAAAGCTTTCATGAAAAATGCACGGTTTGCCTTTTCATTCACTAGTCAGGAAAGGGGCTTTCAGACTTTCAGATTTCAGGTGCAAAATAAAAACCCATCCTAACAGCTAT